GTTTAAAATTGATTGGGACATTTCTAGCTACATGGTGCACGGGCCGTAAATCTCACATGTAAATTGGTTTGCGCCATTTTTGTTTGTTGTGGAGCGCTTTTCGTGGCGTCTCAAACCTGGAGTGCTTAAATCTTAGTGAGGTTGGATGGTCGGAGTTTACATGCGAAATTCTTACAGGAAGCTGGGGACTCTGGGCCTCGGTTCGCAAGTATTCGGGGTACAAAGCATCCCGCTACTGCTGTTGACGGGGTAGAAGCAAGGGTAGCACCTGGCAGGTCACCTTGTGGGGCCACAATGTTTCTTCAAGCAGTCTCGCTTGGTTTGGTTCGGACATAGTCATAACCTTGCCATTTGATTTGCATTCCGACGTTACTTGTCAATACATACGTGGACGGAGTTTTTTTTTCTTGTTCTTGAAGCCTTACAGGGGCGTGGTCGTGAATTTATCTTTTGCTAAATGGTTGTTTTCGTGGCCTTCTATCTTCGTTTGTGGCGGGGGGAAGCAAGTGCGATCAACTTGAATGACCTTCATACTTGCGCTCATGAGGGCGGCGCATCCCATCGTGTATTCCTTTCCGCCTTATATTTTATGATTTTGTTAGCAGGGGGTGCTCGAGAGAATGTGAAGCTGCAATGCGCCCTCATTAGAGAACAATGACCGCCGGCGAGCTGTGGTGTGTTGACCTAGAGCTGCATGTTGGTTAACCTCAGGCCTACCGAAAATAAAAGCGCAACGTCTTGCCATCCATCTGTTATACTTGACCACCACTGGCTGCCAGGAGAGGAAAGACCCATCAAAACGGATTCGTACACGACTGAAGTGTTAAAGCAATTCCAATATCGTACACAACTGTAGTGTTAGCCAATTCCAATTCTTGTCTCTTCCGCACAAAAACAGCACTGAAGATTCTTGTGACAGAAAACGTGTGACGGGAAACGTGTGACGCAAACGTGTGACGAAAACGTGCGACACAAAATTCGATATTTTTGGTAGAACCGTGGGGTTAATCCAGAGAACGCTTGGTCTTTTCGCTGGTGAGAGTGTATGCGTGGACAAGATAGAGTGGAGACGAAGAATGAGGTCGTGGTATTTTATGTTCCTCAACAATCTGTGTCAGATCATGTTCTTCGTCGGCAAGCTTTGGCTGCAAGTCTTAGCGAGACTTTTCCAACTCCTTTGCGCGGCCTCAGCCGTCGACATGTCGGTTTTGGAGTCGATTGTGGGGTTAATCCCGAGAACACTGTAATTCTGCCGCGCAACACCGCCCGCAACCGAAAAGCAATTGTCACATACCCTTTATTAGCACACAACTGCTCCATGCCTACTAGTTTATTTCACGCCCTTCGTCATGACCCCCCCGTACCTGTACGTGCACTATCACCTTATCGGAAGGCTAACATAAGATACCGTTAAACAGACAGAATACCACCCGTTACAATTTGTGAATCATTAAACGTCATCCCATGGTGTGGTATTCTATGTCGGTGATTGCCAGTGTGATGATGCGGATGATACGGAGAAATATTCAAACCAGACCATCTCCGAACACTATTTTATTCCGGTGAGTGAGGCGTTTTCCCTCAAAAATATGTGCCACTCCAAAATTCTCACTTTTGCCGGAGGCAGGAAGGCATCAAATACGGTCGTAGCAAGCTTCTTCTTGTTAGTCTCGAGACAAGAACAATGCAGCAACGCACGCTCGAAGCAGTTGTGGCTGCGGATACCGGCCTTATTTTTTTTAATACCGCACGAAAGGTGAGTGAAGAATGTGTATAAAATCTTGTCGGGGGGGAGGGGAGGACGTGGGACAAGGACGTGCGGCAAGATGGGCACGACAACGACAGGTGAGGCGAGCTGCTACAAGCACCGGCTGGATGGAGCGGAGTACAGGGTAGGAGGGAGAAGTGTGCGGGACCGGAGGAGAGGGGAGGCGGGCAAGGTGCGAAATGCTGGCGATGGTATTTGCAGGAACGCAGGCGGGACGAAGGAAGGTGGGACAGGGAGAGCAAGGGAGGGAGCGCGGGCACGGGAAGGGGGGCAAGGGGGAAGGAGAGCCAGCTAGAAAGGCTTG